TCCCTGTTGTTGTTGTTGTTGTTGTTGTTGTTGCTGTTGTTGTAACTGTTGTTGTTGTTGTTGCTGTTGTTGTTGTTGTCCTTGTTGTTGTTGTTGTTATTATTATTGCTGCTGTTGTTGTTGCTGTTGTCGTTGTTGTTGTTGTTGTTGTTATTATTATTGCTGCTGTTGTTGTTGCTGTTGTTGTTGTTGTTGTTGTTACAGCTACCGGTAATGTTGTTATGCCTGTTGGTTCTGCTATTGTGAATGTTGTTATCGTTGTTACTGTTCTTGCTACTGTTGTCAGACTCACAAATAATGTCGAGCGTGTGTCAGTAACACGGGGTTTAGATGGGGAGTATATGGGGAATGTCCTGCAGTGCAACGAGGAAAAAATCTGTGAAACGAAACTAATTGTTCAATGAAGCACAATACAAATGAGGAAAATAAACAAGAAAAAAATGGTTATGTTAAAAATCAACAAACTGCGGGTGTATATAGATCTAGCTCTGGGACTAGTCTGATGAAATGTAAGGCCAAGTTCACTTTTATTTACCTAATAATAATTGCGCTACGAAACGCTTTAACAAATAATAGGCTTGCATTGATCTGAAGGTTCTGCCAAATTCACCATAGTCTCGGCTTGGATTTTTTTTGTACCATCAACTGGGAAAGTGTTACCTTCCTTTGTTGACGAGCCTACTGTGGGGGCTTGGTCTCTCTGCTTTAGCGAGCCCCTATTCCATATCGTATTTTAAAATCAAGAAGCGTTTTCACACATGTTAAGAAAAGGTGTGAAGGTGGCAAAGCATTTTACCTGGACTCTATTTGAGGGGTTGGCATTTAAAAAGCTTGCCTAAAGACACGAGCGTTGTTGCATACAAAGCATGCTTCGTTGTGGGTATTGTAGGAACAATTTTTCAGAGGGATCGGTTGGAACGAAAGCTGCCATTCCCTTTTCTTGAAAGTCGTGTAAGACCAGGACATCCTCAGCACTGGTAATAAGAAATGTCAACGTGCTGTTTGGTCCCCTTCGACCCTGCACTACTCGAACAGTGTATTGACTACACCCTGCTCTTCCTCGGTTTCTCTTTGTCAACCAGCCTCATCGATGAAGACAAATTCATACCGCTGAATGTTTTACCTCAACCATGCTGCATATTGATGTGTGGCTGCTTCAGTCCAATCAGAATTTCACTACCCTGGAGTATCCTCGAGTTTTGTTATAGTGATCAATTCACCCTAAAAGAATATTGCTTATGGTTGCCGTCAACTCAGTTTGAGCACATTTAAAATGCTGCTAACGTTGAGTGATCTGTTCGGAGGATATCTGCTTTTGCAATGAGGCATTTGACCTCCTTTTTGTATTTCATTTGAACCTATTACGCACAATCGCGCACTAAAATGTCGAATCTTTGATTTGAACTTTATATGTGGCGTGAAACTCTATGTGACACGTATTGAACTTTCTCTGTGGTTTATGTATTTCTTATGTGTACATTTGATTAAAAGAAGAACAAAACCCCGACAACCCGACAACTATATATGATAATATGCTATTCTAAACCGAATTTCGTCTAGGGGATTAATAAAAGTGGTGGAATTTCATATGTTTTATTTATTTATTTATTTATTTACTTATTTATCTATTTATTTTATTTATTCTTAACTTTTCACGAAACGACCAAAAGCTGACCTTGACCTATAATTCATCTGGCCCCTTCAATTTCTCTCTGGATTGTTGGCCGGATGCTCAGGTGGTGTTTGCTCCTTCTTTGATATCAAACGTTATGTCGTCCTTATTATTGTCTTTCCTCCTTCTTTTTCTTACTCTCCTGCCACACGCCTAATCTTCGGCACTTATACATGACCCTAGACGGTTTATGATCGCCTAGATATGACCACATTGTGTGGCAAGTACCGTAAAACTCTTCCTACAGAAAACGAAAAACAAAACGACCCCAAGTTGACCTTGACCCTCGACATATCTGACCCCCATCAATAATTGTGAGGCAGCTTGGTGGAATCAGGCTCTCGTCAGTTTTTGGGTATAC